GGGTGCGCGGGTGCGCGGGTGCGCGGTGTGCGCGGTGTGCGCGGTGTGCGCGGTGTGCGCGGTGTGCGCGGTGTGCGTGGTGGCGTGGTGTGCGTGGTGTGCGTGGTGTGCGTGGTGTGCGTGGTGTGGGTGGTGTGGGTGGTGTGCGTGGTGTGCGTGGTGTGTGTGGTGTGTGTGGTGTGTGTGGTGTGTGTGGTGTGTGTGGTGTGTGTGGTGTGTGTGGTGTGTGTGGTGTGTGTGGTGTGTGTGGTGTGTGGGTGTGTGGGTGTGTGTGTGTGTGTGTGTGTGTGTGCGTGCGTGCGCGTGCGTGCGCGTGCGTGACTATCCATGACAAAAAGCCGTGCACAAAGGCCAACAAAGCCGCCCTGCGCACGCTGCAGGCAGAAAGTTATGTCTTGGCAACCAACGGTAGCATCTGGCGCGAAGGTTCTATGCTAGTCTATGTTGGTTCTGTCGCCCGCTCGGCTTGCATCTGGCACGCCAGTTTTCATGGCCTCGTACTGCAGTGCTGCATTGCTCCAGGTGAACTCTGCAGCAGCGGCCATCGCAGCCTTCTTCATCTCAACTACCTGACATCAGGCACAAAGAAGCTCCAAGCTCCGACCGGAAAATGACTTGCACTGCGTTACACAGTCGCCCCGAAGCGCCCCAATGGTCAGCACAGGTCGGATGGAACAGGCACGATCAGCTGCGGAGCAACCAGTCCCCAAATGCTCCACGCACAGTAGCCTTCCCCGACTGTATGTGTTGGGTGCACGAAAAGCAACGCTTCCTGGCCTTACCAGGCTCCGACTGGAAGAGCTGACAAGCTCGGCGCAGGCATTTGGCCAAGGACGTCACCGACTCCTGATCAGCTGCAACTCTTGAAGATTGCTTTTGTAGCTGGTGCCTGTAGGTTGCGAAGAAGGGATAACGAAGAGTCTCGATGACCTTTTGCACACCTTTCTTGCCGTCAGCATGGGAATTAGGCACGATGCAGGAGTCCCCCTAGCTTCGACCATGAAGGGCTTTTTTTAGGAAGAAGCTGACATCATCTGGATGGCTGCTGCTGCCTAGCACCCTTCCAACTAGCAGCTTTGTTGTCGCATCTTCCGTAGAGTCAGTAGGACCATCGGGAGAAACTTGCCCGATAGTCGCTTCAGGCGTTATGCAAAGGAGCCACACAGCCAGAGCTCCTGCTCCACAATCGCCTCGACGGTCATCTCACCATCCGTCCAGAGGCCGTTCAGGCCATCCTTCCGTTTCCAACCCCCAAGCCACCCATGCATAAGCGCTGATTAGCAGTTCGCGCCTCGACAGTGTCCTTCAAACCTCCGGTTGGGGCGACGATGGGCAGCGTTCCCAAGCGCATAGCCTTCATTGGCACGAAGGTACTTCGCGTGCCGTTCGCATACCCACATGGACAGAGCTTCTGAAATGCTTCGCCTCCATCTGCACAAGTCCACATGGCTCCCACCTCCGGCAGACAAATCGAGTGAAGTTCCATCCATCAATCCATCACTGAGCCGAGACTTCGAGCGGCCTGGACGGGAGCAATGTGTAGTCGCATCCGGCCAGCAGAGCATAACGCTCCGCTCCCATCCAGCCTGTGCACGGAAGACTTCTTAACTTCTTCTAACTGTGTGAAACAGCAGGTGATCTGCTGATACGGCCTGCATAGAACAATTTGTTCGGGAATTGCTTTTCCACGGCTTTCGTCCTTAGCATGGATCGTTGCATGTCTTGGCGGCCTCCAGTCTGCAACCCCGCGACAAACCTGCACTCGTACCTCCAAAAACCGACAGCCTGAGTGCCCCTTGGATCGGCCCGTTGTTCTTGAGCACCCGACTGGGCCACGAGATCAGCGCGGCCAGCGCCAACCACCACCATTTGCAGTTCGGTGTCCTCGTGCTGTGACGGCCGAGTTTGTCTTCTCACCGGTCCGTGATCATCGCCGTAAGGGGTGATGACATGGACGTGCTCTCAGAGCTCGGGAAAAGGCATTGTAGCTTAAACACACTCACCTGCCTCCCGGACCTCAAACCTCAACCTGCAAAGACTGGCAGAAGCGAGACCTTGTCCAATTGTCAATGATTGGTCAGCAATGCTAAAGCCCGGGCCTCCAGCACTTCCATGAGTGCCTCGAGGAGAAGGTCGTAGCCCTTCTGGGCATCCAACCTCCCGGAGCGACAGTGTGGCCCGGGGCATGGCGTTCGCGTCGCGCGCTTGGGGTGGGGCCATGGCTGCGGTGTAAAATCAGTCCGAGCCTTCCGATGAAGCACATCAACGGGCCCTTGCACTCCGTCATGTTGTTCTGCTTGCGATAGAGGTTCTGCGCACGGAGAAGGCGCAGAACACAGAGAGGGTGAGACACTTCGATCAGAGCACACCGGCCTTCAGCTCTCGCTTGGCTGCATCCGCTGTAGCTGCCTCTTCAGAAGCCACGGCCGGGAGCGGGAGAGCTCGATTTCAGGCCATGTGCATTTCTTGGGGCGCGGGCGGTGAACGGCCCACAAGACATCATGGTCTTGGTGACGAAGTTCATGTCACTTGGGGAAACACCCTCTTTGACACCGTTCAGGATTCCTGGAGCGAATCAGCGACTTTCGCCATGAAAGCAGCTCTTCAGCATGGGCCCAGGTCCTGTGCAGTTGCCCATCTTGAAGAGGGCCTCCAACTCCACGCCCTTCTCGGGATCCATGGTGATCTCTTTCGCGTAGGAAGGGGACACGGTCAGAGCCTCGGCCACAGTTGACCACTACATCAAAAGCAGTGTGTACTGTCCGTTCTTTGAACTAGGAGTTCATGTCGCTGCATCTGTATGTGGAGGGCGAGGATATTGACGCATTCACTCCCGCAAACTATGCCTGCCTCACACAGGAGCCGACAGGTTGGGGTGCCGGCGCGATCCGAGTAGCGAAGGCCAGCAGCCATGGTGTTGACGCACGACACCTGCCCAAACTTGTCCGATCCTTGCCGGATTTTCAAGTTTTGTGGGCAGCCGCCTTCTCGTTGTACTTGCCAATGCGAAGAGGCTGCTTGAAGGTGATAGCATCGATGTAGCGCTGTGGGACACCGAAGATCTCTGCCAGACCTGCAGCGAGGATGGGCGTTCACAAGCAGCCTTGATTCTGAGTAACTTCCCGCCTTCCTCGCGAACGAAGCGGCCCTGGAACACGGCGTTGTGGCAAAGGAAGGCAGTCTTCGTGTTCTGCCACTTGCCTCATGTGGCTAAAACCAGCGCAGTCCCTGTAGTCCAATGCAGTCGGGCGCTGCTAAAAACAGGCTGCAAAGCGACTTGGGTTTGTGGACTTCTCCGCATGGATGAACATTGGCACCAATGCACTGTGCCAATCGTTGCAAACTACCATGGAGTCACCACCGTACCTCGCACAGAGAGCGTGAATCCAAATCAATTGACACGCATCGATAGCTTGTGATCGTATTGTCCGAAACGAGCATTGCTGGGGTTGATGCGCAATTCCACCAAGCTTTAGCTCCTGCACAAGCTAGCCCCATGGCTACCCGATGTTGCCCTTCTCGCCTCTAACGTTCTGGCACAGCCTTCTCTGAGCATGGCCCTAAGCCAAGAAAGGTGGAGTTTTGTCTAGAGTCGGCATGTCAAAAAGCACCAATAGGGCGCCTGTCCTGGATGGCCTTCAGGCATGCCTTGCAGAAGTAGGCAAAGCGAGCCTGGTTGTCGGCGAAATCCTGGACTGGGGACGAGGCACGATTCATCTTCTGCAGAAGTTGTGAATGGGCGGGGGCGCGTGCATGCCACGCAGAAGTCCTTTCCCCACTCCGGTCCGTACAGCTTGGCGCCTGTTCGGCAGCAGAAGACATGCGAAGCCTCTTTGCTGTGGAGCGAAAGCTACTGCAGTCGCGCTTCACGAGGGCTTGGCCTGTCAAGCCATCCACTCGCTCCAAGAAGGTGGGATGATCCACAAAGACATAGTCCACCTCCAAAGTCACATTCATGGCAGCTGCACCGTCTGTGGGTTTCTTTCAGCCTTCTGCTTGTAGGTGTGGAAGAAGTGCACTGACTCCTGCGAGAGGGCTCGGCCAGCAGCCGGCCAGGAAGTGACGGACTCTTGTGCAACGTGTTGCAATCGAACGGGCTCCTGCTTGCCACCCATCGGCACCGACGACCAGTAGCTGGTGTCCCAAGCCTCCGAGTACTGGTCGTAGCCTGATGAAGCTTCAAGGCTGCAACCGCCTAGCTGGAACGTCCACATCACTCCAGAATCACCAGAATACGCCAGCCACGGTCAACCGAGGTGCGGGGGGAGACCACCATGCAGCGGTGGCCCAGTGCAGCCAAGGCAATGGGAAGTCCATCCATGGCCTCGCCAAGTCCTGAAGCGCTGAAACTTCACTCCGCTCTTATGAAAAACAAGTACCGAGGCCTCCCGTTTTCGAGAAGGGCGCCACCTCGCTCGTGATGAAGACAATCCTTAGAACCGTCTGTCGAGTTTGGTTCCTCGCATCATGCTAGTATTTTTCCAAAGCCTGCTGTGCTCTTGTACACCAAGCACCGACCGCCTGCTTTCGCACACGAAGCGTTTCCGAGTGCAGCCAGGCGGCTGGTACTTCTTGCCGATGGGGACCCGGAGCTTGCCATCGGCACCACGGGTCGCTCCGCCACGCCCCTCCCAGAGTCATTCGCTGTCACGACGCAAACCAGACAGGATCTGTGTTCAGTGATCGTGACCCATCGACAGTCCGTTTGGACCTGGTTTCTGAGGCTGGCCCTGAAACCTGCGATAGACCTGCCTTTGACACATCTTGACCATTCAGAACTTGCCCTGGAATCCAGGTATCCTTACAGTGTACCCCACCACGCAGCCACTCTTACTACGTCTTGCGTTGGTTCCTGTAGTTGCTGGAAGCTGAATCCAACATCAGGCCCATGTAGGCAGTGTGGGACCTCTGCCATGGCGCGTCCAACTGCAACAGCAGGAGGTCCGACCTGCCCGTCGATGTGCCCAAACACACATTCTCCCCTTCACTCGCTGGTCGTATATGCTTCAAGGGGCATGCCAATCTGTAGGGTTACGATAGCACTCTGAAGTTCGCCCTCAAGCGCAAGATTGTAAGAGAGCTGATAGTCCTGACCCGCAGACTGACTTGTGCACCAGGCTCAGGCAAAAGGACAGTGGCCATTGCTCTGACCAGCAACATGCGAAATTACTCTGCATGCTGATTCTGATGTTGGTCGATAGTTGCGAGGAGGTGACGGTGAATATGCTTGATCGCAACGCAAACCACGGATTGATGGTTCATCGTAGGCATGCGAGACCTTGGGAGCATCAGCGCCGGTCAGCACGGAACTGGCAGCCTCGCAATGCGAGAAAGAGAATTTTACCAGGGAGCTTGGCCGCTTGGCTTGACGCCGAGGTTACTGAGGAGGCCCCGAGATGACACACCCAAGCAGAGCCTTCGCGTAGCCACGTGCGGGGCCCACGGAGCTCGTGGCAACTGCACCAGGCTGTGTCGGGGGCACCGGCTTGCCGCTCACGATATTCAGGACCTCAGCTTTGCTGGAAAAGTCAATGAGGAAGACTGGACGTGTAGTGCTATCGCCGGATATCGCCAGTACATCCTAGCCCCCGACGAACATGATTCAAGGGAGGTTTTCAAGCTCTCTGGGACGAACAAACCAGCAAACCATTAACGGCAGCGCTTTGAAGCAACAGCTTCAGTTTCACAAGCCATAAGGCGGTTCCATCCAATCTGCATCTACTCATGTTGATCATCGAACAATTGAGATGGGGCAATGCACGAAATCACCAACGATGGACCATAACATTCGAAAAATACAAAATTGTACAAAGATTGCCAACCAAGGTTTCCAAACTCCGCCGGTTCGCAGGTAAAAAACTGTACGACTGAAGGGCGAGCCGCGAGCAGAAAGTTAAGGGCTGGCTTCAAACTCTGATTGCATGTCGCTACTCATCTCTTCCGACTCGCATCAGCTTGGGCTCCGGGCTGTGCGAGGTGCGGACTGGCCTGGAACTGATGCAGCTCCGGCTGTGCCGGCCCCAGCACCACCGGCCATGTAGCGCATGGGCACGGAACCAGCGGTCATGGCTTTGGCCTGGAGATCGGATGCCTACAGTAAAGACCTTCCCTGCGCGCCCGCGCTACCGATGCAGCAACCTACAAGAACACACTGCAAAAGTGATGCGAAGCACGAGCGAACACACACACACACACACACCCGCGCGCGCGCACAGACGGACAGACACGCTTCTACTGTAATATGCGCTCCAACAAGTTTCAGCTACCCATATATCTACCCATATCATACAGACTATCGAACCCTTAAGTCCCCCGACGTGCCTTTGCCTTCGGCGCGCCCGAGGCCCCCCCGGCCGCTTCAGCCTTCGCGCCCACACCTGGCGACCGTTAACCATATCATAAACCACGGTAGTTGATCTTTGGCATACTATCAAGGGACAAGAGTCATGTCACTAACAGCATCGAAGAAACGAACCACGGTACTGGGTAGTCTTGGTAAGAGTTCGAGCAGTCGAACCACTTATACTGCTTGACATATGGATTTTACCTGGCCTCGGTTCAGCGCGGATCCAGTGGCACCCACACGATCGGCAGCAGACATCGGCTTCTTTCCCTCCTCATGCAGGACAATACTACAGGGATGGCTGATTACACTCACACTTCTGATCTTGAGCGAAATCGAGACTTGACTGATGGAGCGCGACTGAAGCTGTAGCCTTTCAACCTGAAGCCATCCTGTCACATGAAGCAGGTCAAGCTGGAAGCTCCTGAACAATGGCAGCCGCGGAGGTCGGAGGCGCAGAGGGTGTGGAGGTAGTGGATGATGCGGCCTGGCATCGATTTGAGAGATCACTCGTCCTGCACTCACTCTACGACATTTTGGGATCCGACGTAAATTGTAGCAAAGCTTCGCAGGCAGCACAAGACAGCTTATGCACAGCACAGATCGCAAAATTGCTTCCTGATCGGAGAGTGACCTTGGCAGTGGCAGCAGGGCCGGGGACGGCCATGGCCTCCCACAAGCGCCAGGTCGTAGCTCTCGCGATGACACCATTTCGTTTCGATGTTCTTTTGTGGTCTTGGCTCTCTGTTGCACCGCGCCTTCTTGGCGACAGCGACCGGGCGGGGAGCTGCCTTGGCCTGAGCGATCGGTTCAAACAGCCAGCCTGTGCTGAAAATGCCGCAAGGAAGCCTCGGGTACGGCGGCGGATCCGGACATGACCTCGGCCGGGATGAGGCCACTAGTCCGAGCAGTCCACTAGACTACAGCACAAGGCGTCCTACGTTCTCCCTCCCTGCGAAAGACTCAAACGTTGCCTCTCCCTCAGTCTCTCAGCATGTTCTCTGCAAGGCAGAGCGTTCGTGCTACCCTCTGCTCTTCATCACCATGAACACACATGCGAAAGGCAAAGCCGTGCCTCAGAGTGTGCAGATTGAAGCGGGGGATGTGCTGCAGTGCTGCAGTGGCACAAAATGCTGCGGATCGGTGTTCGGACATGTCACCTTCTACTTCCGTCTACACTGTCACAGCACACCGGGAGTATCTCGGGACCGAATCCGATCAAACCTGTCCTCTCCCAAATCCACTTGCAGAAGGCCGTGACGGCCCAGCCTGAATAGCGACTTGCAGAGCAGCCTGGCAGAAGCAACTTGAAGCCAACATCAGCACCAAAAAGATTTCGGAACCATCAAACTCCTTCCTGGCCCAACAAAACCAGAAGCAGTGCAGAGTCGAGGCCCCATGACTTCAGTGGACCCAATCGGATGAACATCCGAGCTGCAAGGTCTGCATTCTCACCCCGTGTCACCCCGCACCTTGGCATCAAAGTTCTCGGCGACTTTGGCAAGGTGCTGCGCCGCTGCCACGTCGGAGGCTGGCTTGCGACAGTGCGGGCACTCCGGCCTCAGCACACATTACCTGTTAAAAAACGCTGCACACAAACACAAGCACAGTCTCTGACAGATGGCTCGGGCGCCGGGCTTTGGCAGCTTCACCAAGCAGCCGATACACACGCTGTGATAGCACTGGTCACCTCTGCTAGCGGGGACAAGTGTTTCGCTTCCCACCAGTTTAGGATCTTTGCTCTCCGGTTGAACCCTTCTTGGGTCATGCGCTCACCCTAGGTTGGGTGATTCCCGCAGTCTCTTGGATCTCAGTCGCAGCTGTCACTGGAAGAGACTCTGCACGCATTCAAGCGTCGCACAGTAGAAGCCGAAGTGGCCGGAACTCTGGTAGCCTGGGCAACTGCACAAGCAGACGAACAACTCAGATCAACTCAGCACGGCAGGGTCCCCGTTCTTCCAAGCCGTTGCGACTTACGTAAGTAATCGACCCTGATGGAGGGCTTCTCTCTCCCAGACACTTACTTTGCTCAGATGTTTTGTTTGGACTATGTCGATGCCTCCGGCTTCAAGCCTGCTACAAGAGTAGTTGAGAGGTGGGGCGCAAAAGTTTAACTGACAGCCAACCTTAACATACATATCTCCAGCGATTCTGGTGCGTGACTGGACAGCTCTTCAAACGAAATTCTACTGTTGCCTGTCCTGCCACTTGTCAATCAAGCATTATTGTAAATGAAGTCCATCTCGTTGTCCAACGCTTCAGATGCATGCTGCAGCAACGCAGCCGTCCACCCCCTTCGGAGTTTCAATCCATCAAACACAACACCGGTAAGATGTCTGCTGCATCTTGAAAGAAAGGCTGCCAAACGTAACATCGCCGCGAGTCCATGTTCAGGACGCTGAACTAAATCACGAGAAACATCGAACACATCAGAGTACGCCCGCGGGTTGACTGTTGCAAATAACGGCGCGTGATCGCCGAACGAATAAACGCATGTTGCAAGCACAAAGGTGCCGGTGCAATACAGGTGAGAGCAAGCGCCCGGGTCCGGCACATACAACACAATTCCGCATCCTGAGGTTCGGGCTTGACATTGCAGAGCGCATGCATATGCGCAGCATCCGTCCAATGCTACACTTCCAGCGTGCAGCCTTCATACGTCCCCGCCTGTCGTCCTGCAGGTCCAGCTGGATGTGAGGCTCGGGAAGGTCGATGCCAATCTGGCGAAGCCATCCACTGCATGCCACGAGCACAGCCGAGCACGGCATGTTCGGATCGGTCCTGGATCTCTCCCACTGCCTCCACCATCTCCTGCAGCGTCTCTCGGGTGGAGTTCCACCGAGAGCAGATAAACTAGATGGGTTGAAAAGGCAGAAGATGAAGCTCAAGCAAGTAGCGAAGATGATCGAATTAAGACGAGCACGAAAGCATCGTAAGACTACCGGGACTTCGCTGCTGATGATGCTGGTGCCACAGAACAGGATAACGGCATCATCACTTAATATGATCGAAAGCAGCACCCATGTTGCCACACCATGAACAGGCGCAGCACGCAGCCTCACCCTCGCAAAGCAAAATGAAATCATCATCACCGTGATCATCACCATTGTGAGAAGGTTAAACGGCCTCATATGATCAACAACTTTGGATCGTCCGACAAAGGCCGGCCTGGGCTTTCCTGTGGAACTCCCGGGAGATGGCGGCAAATCCGTCCTGCTCTCTTCATGCTCACTGCCTGCGAACTCCGAGCACGCTTTCGTCCTCGAAGTCGGCCCACTGGAGCAAAGGATCGGCAGCATCATCCTCACAAGTTCTTCTCTAGGTGGCTCCTACCCTATGAACGTCCAAACTCTGTCGGTCAGGCAGATGGCGAGCTTTAGTGGGCAAAGAGTCTTTACCTGCCTTTTGCTGCCATATTCTAAGCTGATTGTCTGTGATGTAACTCCCAGGTCATAGTTAGTGCTGGCACTCTGGTGACTGCGCTTGCAAAATCCTTCACCTTTAGCCGCAGCCAGACCACATGATCAACGTGACTCATGCCGGAAGCAGCTCCTCGCGCTGGTCGCCAGGCTCCAGGAGAGGGGCCCTGAACCAGGGATGCCTTGCTGTTGTTGCCGAATGTACTAACGATAACCAACGGTGCTGAAGACAAGTTTAATGTAACACTCGAAGTTTGTACCAAGAACAGCCCGCTGATCTTCCTCGTAAACCCAGAAGGCAGGAAGCCTCCCCCCCTTCGGTGGCCACAAACGTTGTCCAGCTCTGGCAGAGCCTAAAAGTTGTCCAGCTCTGGCACAGTCTGGCACCGGGGCCGCTGCTTGAGGGCTTCTTCGGCTTCGGGTCGCAAGGTCCTGCGAAGCATCAAAGTGTGTGCTGCACCGGAACATATGCTACAGTATAACGACCATGAGGTTGAGGCAGTGATCAGGTACGAACAGCAGTTGTAGGATGCGTGATCGGGTGATCCACTGACGCCTCTGAGGATCGCGAGGGACAGAAAATCTCAAGTGCAGGGCTTTCTTAGGGCCTCTTCGGTCGCAGGAGGCGCCGCACCAAATCGCGGGCAACCGGCGATGGCCTGCGGACCACTGAACATCTCCCTTTCTGAACCATCAACGTTTTCAGTTTGAGTTTCGTCGCTGTGGTAGGCCTCTGCGGTCATCTCTGTCGCTCATCGCTTCTACATACCGAATGAATGGCATTCTTTATCATGCCTGCACGCCCTGCCCCGTCAACAGAGTCAACCAGCTACGTACAGTGCAGGCTGAGGACCAGATTCACACATTCTTTTGACAGTATCGTTCTGGGAGCATTGAAAAACACCACGAGGATGACACTAGTCAGGGTCGACAGTAGAAGACAGATGCTTACGCTCTTGTCAAAGCGAAGATGATGACAATACATCCCAATTTGTCCATAGTGGCATGATGCCTACCTACGACAACGATAACGCCAAAACTGAAACCCTCCCAAGAGACATAACAACAATACCAGGCAATGGATTTGAAGGCAAGACTTATCTTGGTGATAGCCTTTACAATACAGGCAGTCGCCATGGAGGTCTTTGCCTTCGCTCCGGCATTCATACTAAACATATCAGGCGACGGCAGTGAGGCAATGATGAGAGATGCTGCATGATCAATGCAAGCAAAGGAACAAGCAGAAGCAGGAGCGGCATTTCTAGTGCTGGCTGGTTTCTGCCCTGTTGTGCGCCCAGCCGTGCTTCCTCACCATGACGGAGATGTGATGTAGGTGTACGCTGAAACTCAGCTTCGTTTGAGTCTGTTGCAACATGAGAAGCAACAGGCTTCACCGTCCACATTTGCAATCATTTTAAAGCATCGCACACTCATGAAACCGGTGCCCACGCTCTGCAATCTAAGCTGGCATTCCCTCCAGATCCCTTTAGGCTCGGAGGGTTTGCGAACGAGCAGCCTCAGCTGCGAGACGCCGGATCCTAGGCCTACATCCTAGGCGTGCGGTCAAGGAGTCAGACATTGCCTAGCTTCTCTACAGATAATCTACAACAGATAAAGTCTGCAATGTTCAGGGATCTGAATGTCTGACTCCGGATCTCCTTGCAACGATCGCCCGCTCCACGAAGCAGCGCCTGAAACCGCTTCATCCGGAGGTGGGCAGCGGCGCTGCAAGCTCTACTATTGATCCTTTGCAAACACTCTCACGAGACTCTCGCCTGCCAATCAGCAATGGCTTCGGTCTTGGCCATAGCACCAGAAAGGAATCCGCATTCTCAGGTCCCTCTCGATGTAAATCCTATATATGCCTGTCTGAGCTTCTAGCTTGGGCAGTCAGACCTACCAGGTGGGGTCTGTTTTCAAGTGTAAGCCTGCCAACAGCTCAGACAGTTCCCACGCCCACGCATGTGTGCGCGGAGAGGAATGCGCAATGTGGCCGCTCCTGGCACCTGCAGCACTCGCTCCGCCGCTAAGCTTCGACACGCGCAGAGCCTCATAATAAGAGAGGCAAGGACCCACGCACCATGTACGGAGCAACAGTAGAGAGGCGCTAAGCTGGCTGCATGCTCAGCAAGTTCTGGTGATGAGTGGTGCTTGGACGGCAAGGATGAGTTCAGAAATCTCACGCGCACAAAAAAAGGTCCTAGCCCCCTGTGCAATTTGTACAACAACATCGGAAGAGCCGGGGAAAGACGACCTTCATGTTTTGGAGGTCATCCGGCCTTCGACGGCATCCTGTTTTTCGAGGACGCTCTGTCCTTCGACCTACCACGAGGATCTTTAGATCCTTGTCGATCCTCTCGCATACGCTTACGTAGCTGCTTGGCACGATGCAAGTTCGCGGCGCTCTCAACGTCCGGCAGGCAGCTTCGGAGCCTGAGCTTGACACATCCCTGCACTCACCCCACCGCCAGGATACTCAGCTTTCTGCCATGACTCGTGACTTATGCATAGAACACTTAATGTCTGAGATGATACGCCACAGAGTCGACAAGTTGATGACATCTGTTCACGCGGCACAGCAAAGGGGCGGAACCACGAAGAGAGCCAGTCAAGAAACAAACAGTGTATGAAGTATTGAACCGCAACACCCTGTCACAAAAAAATGCTATGTATAGGTCAGGCCATAATTGCCCATGACCGACAGCGATGTCACACTATGCAGACTGACTCCACGTAGCGCCATTTCGTGTTCGTACTACTGTAACCCGATTTCACTCCAAGTGCCAACCTAGCGACACCTCGGTCAACCACTGTCGTGCTTTCGTTCCTCTCGGGCTCAACAGGCGAAAGCAGATGGCATGAGGGTTGTCACGCTTTGCCCACGCAGTCCTGACTGATCGAGGAAGGGATCTTCACGATATGCCATCCTCAGTTCTTCGTGGGTCGGGCGGCCACTGCAACGAAGAGCTACAGGCACAAAAGACAAATATGACACGGACGAAGCGTGTCTTGACATGGCAAGTCGCATTCTGTCACGATTCCAGAGCTCGATCCCGCGACCGACCTGCGACTGGCGTGCTGTGAGGCTGCAAACCTCGAGCTCTGGGCAGTCTGAAACCCGGGCTTTGGCAACGACCCGAGAGCAGGTGCCCTTGATGCCTCAGCGCCAGGAACACAGGCAAACTCTCAGCTCAACTTTCTGTGAGATCTTGCCATCCCGGTGCACTGAGACCATCACGCTCATCCGTTTTGAACTCCCAATCCACCTGGTTGTCGGTGAAGACCTGCCGAGGCTCAAGCCACGGTTTTTCCCGCCATTGGCCTCTCGAACATGCGAGGTTACGTGCCCATTCTGAGTGCCCCCCACAACTCACTTACAGTGCTTGTCCGGCCTTTGAAACTCTGGTGACTTCTGCGTAAGGGGTGGCTTTTAGAATATCCAGCCAGATGTTTTTACTGCGCTGTTGGTGTGCAATGAGGGAATCTGCGCTGCCTGAGCACGCTGGCAGACTTGGTGGGCTTGACACTTGTGATCCTACGTTTCTTCACTTGGCACAGGAAGCAGGAACAAGCTCAGCAACTTCCTCTGGTTGCCAAATCGTGCAAAGCTACGGTGCACAATTGAAGCTCGACACGCAGGTGCACACGACCGACCTGAGTGGCAGTTGGCAAGTTATCACATGTGATGTGCTCCTGGTTCTGGCGGATGAGCGTTAGAGATCGCTTACTTCCTCGGCACACTTCCACGCTGCAAATTTGGTCTTGCTGACGCAGTGGCACACCCATGCGTTGTTGAACATTTCCGATTTCTTTCGGGCATGTTTTGACGGAGTGCAGAGCAGCATCTGCCTTATCATTGGACTTGGGTTGCCCGGTCCAGTCGACCGCACATCCAGACATGCTCCATTCTGCGCCGGCCAGTTCCATGTGCTGGTCGCGGATGTCAACAGACGCCAGGTCGACACCCATTTGTGCACGGCGTTGGCATGCATCGTGCAGCTTCAGAGAACAGAACGGTCTGGTCCACCGCTGATGGGAGGACTGCGCTTCTGCACGCTTTGCATCACCAACTGCGAAAGAGAGCTGATGGCGATCCATGGCCAATACTTGAGCCCAAGTTTCGAAGTTGGCCTTTGCGACTCAGCCGACCGACCCCAAGCTTCGGTTTCTGAAACTGTCATGGGGTGGCCAAGCGTAAAGCATCGAATGCACAACGGAAGCGGGGTCCCTGTGACGCTACCCTGGCCCTGCAAGCGCCCTGGCATGCTTGGGCCTGGCTCATGATGATCTTCATTCGCTCAGCCATGAATGCGTAGTCCCTCCCGACCTCAGCTCGGAAATTCCCGGGACTTGGGACTTCTTCATCCTTCGCATCCTGCCGGCGAGGAGCCCAGAACTGCAAGACCTGGGCTCCGCAAGGCTCAATTCGCCTACTGGATAAGTGAGACGGAGACGTCCTTGCTGCCTTGGCTTTGTGCTTCCAGGTTGCCACAGGCCTCCCGGGCCGTGTCTCCATCAGCGGCTTGCTGGGTGCCACGTAGTCGCCAGCAAGTTTCACATAGTCTGAGGCAGAGAGTAGAGGCTGGCTTGTGTTGCATGTTACTGTACATCGTAAACGTCCTGCTCAGAGCTCTTTCGCGAAGTGCCTATTCGCCGAGTCTTCGACAGATACAGCAAAGACAATTCCAAACCGAACTCGCGGTCAGGAGTCAGGAGCAAGACGGAATAGTGAGCGATCATCTGTGAGACCCGTGAAAGCGACTGAGAAGAGGCCAGAATTGCCCCGCAGTCGGCCTTGCTGGTCTGCATGTCCTCGCATGTTTTGGCTTGAAGCTTGAGGTTCCATACCAGCGGCTCTAGCTCTCTGATGCTGCGACAAAACATGCACTTTGACGGAAGCCCACAGCGAATCTGGTGCCTTTCTGCTCCAGCATCTTCAATTCGCGGTCGGGATGCACCTGACTAGGGATCCCCTGAGAGTCACCGGGGCTACGGGATGCTACGGGCTGGCTATGACAACATGGACCCATAGGAGACCGCTGAAGACGAGGAGCCCAATTCAGGAACTCGTCATAATTGATGTCGCCAGAGGCGTCGCTATCAATAAAATCCTCGGTCCATCACAGAGGAGCGTGAAACGTCCGATCCCCACTCCCCGGACGCTTCGCCTGCCAAGCAACGCAATGACAAACTGTCTACGGAGTCTACTGTGGCGAAAGGCAAGTGCTCAACCAAGCAGCATGCAGGTCATCACCTCAGCCCATAGGGTCGAGTCGATGTCAGCAGGAAAGTGTTTTTTTGGTATCGTCCTCCACCTGATGGGGTTTGCCCCTGCCTTCGTGCGTCGGTCATCAACAGTTTCTTCTTCACCAGAGTCATCATCATCATCATCATCAATGAACAATGGTATTGCCCTCATCAATCCGTAGCCATTTTGGCTCAAGGGCCCGGATCGAGCAACGCACCAGCGTGTTGTATAGCTGAAGCCCCAGACCCCACGTCATTGTCATTGCCCCGCCGGGAATGGGGTCGTTTAAGAGCCTGATGCTTCACGACATGGTGCGAAGCGCTGCTGCACGGCGCGATGCAGTTTTTCGTGAAAACGCCGACCGGCAAGACCATCACCCTGGCTGCTTATTGGCAGTGAGCGGTATGAGCT